ATGGCAATCCCCAGCTGACGATGGAGGCTGTAAATTAGTTGGATATGTCATTGAGAAACGTGAATTCGGTCATCAACAATGGGAAATGGCAACACCGGAAACGGTATATAGCCATTAAACTTTTTTAGTTTAATAGAAGAAACTAATTCACAGACTCCTCTCACTGAGTTCACCGTTCCTGGACTCAAAGAATTCCATGATTATGAATTCCGTGCTATAGCTCTCAATTCACATGGACGTGGTCTTCCATCGTTGCCTACATCGCCAATTAAAATACAAGAAACAGCTGGGTGTAAACCAACAATTGTAGTCAAACCGGAAGATGTTGCATGTCCTTACAACAAAAGAGCTGTGTTAACCTGTGAGGCTGTTGGACGACCAAAACCAACTGCCAGATGGTTACGCAATGGAAGGGAAATCCCCGATGGAGCTCGTTATAGAGTAGAGGACAATGGAGAAGGGCTTTATAAATTAATAATAAAAGAAGTTTGGGATATTGATGGTGGTGATTATACTTGTGAGGTAATTTGTTGGATTTTAAATAGAGTTTTATTTATATTCCGCATAGTCGGGAAATATTTAGACTTTGGATATTTAAAGATTCTTACTAAAAATATAGAGTTTTGGATATAAGAGAATGATAATTTAATAATCAGGTGTCCAACGTTTTCGGCGTGGATACAGCAACAGCCAGCCTTAAAGTCCAAGCACCTCCAGTTATTGAAAAACAAGTACCAAATGCTGTATATCCCGCTGGGGATATGGTTCGTATCAAAATTTTCTTTTCTGGCTCACCTCCATTTACTCATCGATTCACACTTAATGGCATTGAATTAAATCCTGATGCAGCAAATATTAGATGGGTTGATTTCGATGACCATGTTTTACTCACCATTCCTGAATTACGGGCACATGAAGCAGGACGTTATGAATATCAGGTATTTGTTTCCCGTTCACTTTGAGCATTTTAAAGTAATTATTTCATTCGTTTTAAGGTCAAAAACGAGAGTGGAGAGGCTAGCACCGGCTTCTGGCTAAATGTTAGTGGACTCCCTTCGGTACCAGAGGGTCCTCTCCAAATAACCGACATAGGAGAACATCAATGCACTGTCTCTTGGCGACCACCTGCCCACGATGGTGGTTCTCGTATTACAAATTATGTCTTGGAAAAGAGAGATTTGAGATCTGCTGAAAGTGATGCATGGGTTACTGTAGCTTCAGCTGTCAGAGAACTTTCTTTTATTGTTGCTGGACTCTTTTCTGGACATGAATATGACTTTAGAGTTTCTGCTTGTAATGCTAATGGACAGGGACCAGCATTAAATTCTGACAAACCTGTGGTTCGTAAAGAAATTCAATTCTACCTTAAATATATTCTTACAGATTGCCCGCCTACCTTTTGATCCGCCTGGACCACCCCTCCTACCTGGAGTTGTAGATGTTGGCCCTGAATATGCAGTACTTAGTTGGCAAAGGCCAGAACGTGATGGAGGTGGCCGAATTCGTGGATATATGGTCGAGAAATGTGAACAAGGCACTGAGCTTTGGCAAAAATGTACACAAGCCCCTTCCCCTTCTACTTCTCTAAATGTTACAAATCTCATTGATGGACGCTCATATAACTTCCGTGTTGTTGCTGTAAATGATGCTGGAGAATCAACTCCAGCTTTGGTTGAAAATTACGAATTCAGTCCAGATTCTAAAGGAAGGGCCCCTGAAATCATTGGGCCTCTTCGTGATCAACACGGAACAGCAGGAGGAACAGTTTCCTTTGAATGTGAAATCGGAGGATCTCCGAAACCAGATATTCACTGGTTTAGAGGAAGTAGAGAATTAGTAGATACACCAAAATGTACATTAATTGATAAAGGAACAAAACAAGTGGAAAATTATTAAATAAATTTTAGAATTAATTTCAAATAATTAGGTTTGTATTGTCAATAATTTACATCCAGAAGATGAAGATGAATATACGTGTAGGGCTACAAATCAATTTGGTACAAGATCCACAAGGGCCCAATTGAAATTGAGCAGTATGTTTTTGCATTGTTTTTCTATATCTCGTGATCGAGATTGACTACAAGATCTACAATTATATTCACTGTCACTGACAGTTTAGGGCATCCTCGTGTTGACTATCCTTATTTTAACTTATTAATAAAAATTTTTCAGCAAAACCTCGTTTACTCGTTCCACCCAAATATTTTATGGGATTGGAAGTTGAAGCAGGCCACAGTATTGAATTACGTATTCCATACAAAGCATATCCTCCGGTTAATTCAACTTGGACTGCTTTAAGTTTTGAAGAGGAAAGGCAACTTTCTAGTGGTGGACGTTATGCTTTACAAACAGATGAAAAAATAATTCAATTAAGAATTTCTGATTGTACTAGAGCAGATGCTGGAGAATATAGAATATTTGCAAATAATTCTGTTGGCTCCGATTCTGCAGTTATTAAATTGGTTGTTTTAGACAAACCTGAACCTCCCGTAAGATTTTTAATTTAAAAATAATTTTTTAAATTATTTATCTTCCCAGAGATTCCCTATTGTGGAAAATGTTCTTGACGGTGCAGCCATTCTTTCTTGGAAACCACCAGCACTCGATGGAGGTGCTCTTGTTACAAAGTGGAGATTTTAATTATTTTTTTTTTGATTTTATTTTCTAATTTATTAAAGTTATATTGTTGAAAAACGCGAATCTGGTGGGCAATGGAAACAATGTGCTCGGTCCCGTTTTTGTTATTTAACAATTGAGGGATTAAAAGCAAAAGAGAGCTATGAATTTAGAATTATTGCTGAAAATAAACATGGACTCTCAGAACCTAGTGAATCAACACAATCATGTTTGTATAATATATTTCTAAATTTGAATATGGACAATGTTCCTCTATTTTGTAAATGAGGAACATTGCGTGAGGAACACTAGATCCTAATTGCGGAGAATAGAAAAATCTTTTTTTTATTTCCTCTTACGACTCATAAACAAATGACTCACTGCTAAGTCATTAGAGATTTCCATAATTGCTAACATTTTAAATTACTTTTCCTTACATTTTAAGGTACAATTCCTGAATCTCGAGTCAAGAGAATCAACTATGAAGGTGCTGCTATTAGTAATGGAATAGGGGTGTCTATTGCCCGAGCCTCCTCTCATGCCTCCTCTTCCTCCTTTTCAATGTTAAATTCCCATTCATCGTCATTACTAACTACTGGAGTTAATGCATTAAATACTAGCAAAACATTCTCTAGTTTGGCTGTTTCTTCAAGTGGAGCATATAGCCGTTCTAGTAGAAGTCCTTCTCCAAGATTAAGTACTTTTAGTAGTACTAGACAAAGCAGATGATAAGTTTTCCTTTTAATCAAAAAATAATTTTGCTTTTTGTTTGCTTTTTGCTGTTTTCCCTAACATTTTCTTCCAAATTTAACAAAAATTACAAATATATTAACAACTTTTTTAATAATTTTAAAATTTTTAAAATAATTTTTAACTAAAATTATATTTTGAAAGACAAAATAATTTTTTCTTGGTTATGGGCTTTTTAAATCTTAAATCTTTTTATTTATCTTTTCCCAATGCTTTTTTTGTTTATTCATTTTATTAAATTATTATTTTTAAATTTTTTAAATGCTTTTCTAATGTCGCTTCTTTACCCAACAGCTTTTTTAATTTTAAAATAATTTATTTTAATTGGACGTATTTTCAAAGTGTGATTTTAAGTTTTCTTTATTAAGAGATATTCATTTATTAGAATATTGTGTTTCTACTACATTTGATTTTTGTTATAGCCAGAATTTAATTAATGTTCGTTATAATAACCATTATTATGTGGGTTATCCCGTTGACTTTCATTGGAGATGACCATTGAGTGGGTTGGGTTATCTCATTTATGTTATATAATGGGAGTTAAAACTGTAAATTAAAAATTTTATATTGCTCATTTCGCACTGTTCCTAAAGCTTAAATCTAATTTTATATTTATTTTTTGCAGGCTTTCTTTACCTACATATTTCACAATCATTTTATTTTTGCCTATTTAACATTACCTGCTTATTTTTATGCTATTTAAATTCCAAATATTTATTTTCTAAATAATCACCAATTAATTATTTTGTTTTAGGTGAAATATACTCATGTAGAATTAGCAGAATTGGCAAAATAATTATTTTAAAAAACTTCAAAACAGAAATTCTGCATTCCATCAGCAAAATAAAAATATTATTTTTTAATTATGCCGGAATGTTGCCATCAACAAAACGAATATTTTTTATTATATTTGTTTTTCTAAATATTTTAAAAATATTCTCTAATTAAATTTATAAAAGGAATATATATTTCTACTTTTTGTTTCAAATTTTAGTTTTCTTCCCAAAAAGTACCGTCCAAACTTTTTGGGAAGGATTAATAAATGAAAATAATTTTATAAAATAAATAAATATATTCCTTTTCTTTAATAACAATTTTAAATTTTCTGAAAATTTTTCAAAAATTTTTTTAACCTTTTTCTCCTTTTTTACCCGTCCACTTTTAACATCTTTTAAAAAAGAGAAATTGTTTAAAATTATTTTAATTAAATGCCCATTTCTGCCCTTTTTACTCATCCAAACTTTATTATTTTTCATTTTGAGTGTTTTGGCTCTCACTCTTTTTGAAAGAAAGGCTCTCTCAAATTTTCCTCAAATTTTTGGCTCCCCAAATTTTCTTTGTTTTTATCAAAAAAGCTCTTTAATATATCCAAAATTATATTTTCAATTTTCTCTCAACCCGTTGATTTTATTAGAAAAATTTTTTTTTAATAAATTGATCTAAATATTTTTAATAAAAATATGGTTAACTTTAATAAAGAAAACATTTTTATTAATAATAATTTTTGAAATTTTTTGCTGTAATATTATTGAAAAATAATTATTTAATATATTAATTGATTTAATAATTTATTAATCAATCTGATCTAATTTATATACCTCCCCAATTTATAACACTCTCGAGTATGATAAGCGTTTATCATCTCTTGGGAACCACCAACCTTAACATGATAGAGGCTATAGATTAACTGAATTTTGTTTCCATAAAAGAATATTTTTAGGAGGTTATGGAATGGGAGGAGTTTGTATAATGCATAATAATTCCATTTAATAATATTTTTAAATAAAATATTTAATTAAAATAATTAGTTGATGATACGGGTAAATTGGTGCGTGGAAAATCAAAGAATAATTACATACAGACTGACAAATATGATTTAATGGGTAAGTGAATTATTAAAGATTAAATTTGGTTATCCTACAATACACATCATGTCAACTCCAATTAAATAAAAATAAATCTTACTTTTACCTTTCATTTTAACCTATCCCTATTTTTTCTCAAGAATATTTTCAATTAATTAATTTAATTAGTTAATGATTCTTTGGACAATTATTATACTCCTAAAGTCATTATCAAAAAAGAACAATCAATTTACGATGATTATGAAATTCTTGAAGAAATTGGGACAGGGGCATTTGGTGTAGTTCACAGATGCTTGGAGAAGAAGACCGGGAATATTTTTGCTGCCAAATTTATTCCAATACTTGGGGGAGATAAACAAAAAGAAATTGTTAGAGAGGAAATTGGGTAATAAATTAATTTTTAATTTTTATTATAATTTTAAAAATTAGGATAATGGCTGAATTAAAACATTCTTCCCTAATTTCTTTACATGATGCTTTTGAAATGGATCAAGAAATTATCATGATATATGAGGTAAATTATTTAAGTAATAAAATTTATTTTCTTTGACTTTCCTCGATATAAAAAATTTTTTAAAGTAATTTCTACCAAATATTCATACTTGTCTACGTCAATATATTTCGGAACTATCGGCAATCCTACTAACTAACAATTTTGACTTTTTCCTCGAGAGCGCGTAGTTCCACTACGTTTTTAATTTTTGTTTTTGGAGATTAAAAAATTTAATCTAAATAATTAATTATTTTAATTTTTATAGTTTATGTCAGGAGATGAATTGCTTGAAAAAATTAGTAAGGATGAGCAAATGAATGAGTGGAAAGCACAAAATTATATTAAACAAATTTGTGAGGGAATTAAATATATGCATGAAGTAAATTTTAAATAATTTATTTTAATTTTTAATTATAGTTATCCTATGTACATTTGGATTTAAAACCAGAAAATATTTTATTTACTACAAAAACAAGTGATAAATTAAAAATTAATGATTTTAGTATGACAACGAAATTAAATCCGGGTAAAGAAGTTAAAATAGCAACAGGTATTTTTGTTGGAATATTTTTTAATAAAAATAATTATTTTTAAATATTTCAGTCAATTCCGAATATTCCGCACCTGAAGTTTTAAGTGGACAAAAAATTGGGTTTAATACAGACATGTGGAATATTGGAATTCTTACTAAAGTTCTCCTTTCTGGAATCACTAGTTTTGATGGAAATATTTTGAATGAAATAAACAAAAAACCAGAATTTGAAAATATATCAGAAGAAGCTAGAGATTTTATTAGAAGATTACTTGTTGAGGATAAACAATATAGAATGAATATACACGAAGCTTTGAATCATCCTTGGCTTATACAGAGAAGAGATAAAAATAATATGAATGAAAACAGTAGTATTATTCCTTCAGAGAGATACTACAAATCTCGAGAATTTGTTCGAAGAAAATATGTAAAAATAGTTTTATTGTTTTAATTAAATAGGGAATGAAGACTGTTGGTTTTTGATTTAAAAACGAAGGGATGATTTTCAGATTAGGAAAATTTAAATATTTTTTCGAATCAAGCTTCGTATAGTAACCAAAAATGCTTAGGCTAGAAAATGTTTTGTGGCTATAGAAATGTTCTTTAAATATTTAAGGATGCCTGGCCCGAACCTCGACTTTCCCTTGGTCGTATATCACAATTTAGCTCTCTATCTAAACTTCATTCTGATCGGTACAAAATACGTGAAACTCTTTTTGACCAAAATGATGGACCTCCTCGTTTTATCATTCGACCGAGACCAACACAAGCAAATGAGGGAATGAATGCTTCTTTCTTTTACAAAATACTTTCGCCTGTTCCAATGCGTATAAGCTGGTTAATTTTTAATAAAAGAAATTATTTGAATTTTTTTTAAAAATTAGGTGGAAAAATGAAAAGGAAATAAAAATATCTGAGGGTTCTTTTGGCAAATATCGTCAACAAAGGAATGGAAATGATAGGGCAATGACAATAACTGAAGTAAAAAGTGAAGATCAAGGAGATTATTTGGTTAGGGCAGAGAATGAATTTGGCAAGAGAGAATGTAGTGCAATGCTAATTGTAGTATTGAAGGATGGAAAAAGTAAGGGATATAAAAAATGTTTTGAATGAGCCTCATTTTTTTGGGCTGAGCTTTTATTAGATAGAGCTTTAAATAAAGACAATCTTTTTGTTAGAAAAAAGAATTCTTTTAATTATAAGAATTTTTCCTGCCTTCAATTTTGGGAATAGTGAATATTAGAACTAAATAACAAATAATTAAATTAAAAAATGACTTTCAAAAAGGAAAAGAAATCCTCCCACAACAAATACCTACAATTCGACAACCAATTATTCAAGAAGCATCTACTACATCAATTGTTGAAAAAGGCCCTCCTGATTTCAGTTTTTTACTTCGACCTCGCCTTATCCAAAAGAACCACACTTGTAAATTAATTTGTACAGTTACATCAGACCCTCCACCAAAAATTAAATGGGTAAAAGATGGAAAACCTGTAGATGATCAACGAGCACAAGCACTTTTTAAGAGTGGAGTTGCTTCTTTAGAAGTTTTTAACATTAAAATGGAGGTAATTTTAATTAATTTTTATTTTATTTAAAAATTAAAGGATGCCGGTATCTACACTTGCATAGCAACAAATGAATTTGGAAGCGATGAAACTTCGGCTTCAATAACAGTTCAGACAAGGCATTCGACTAGTTCAACACAACAAACTAGTAATTCTTTAGACGGGGCTTCATCTTTTTTAATGGCTGGATTGGTAGGAGAAAGAAAAAATAAATTACAAAAGAAAGGAAATTGACAAGAAACTTAAGTATATAATTGTAAGAAAAACTGATGAAAACAAATTTTGATTTAATTTATTCAAAATAAAACAGTAAAAATTCTCTTGTGTTTATTATTGTTTCACCGGAACTGAAATTTTGACCGGAACCGGATCCCATTTGAGTTCCGAAACCAACTTTTCTTAGTTCCGGCCCGGAACCGGAACTTCCGGTTAAATGGTACTAATTGTGTTGAAAAATACATAATTATTTAAAAAGACAAATATCATCCAGCAATGTAGCTCAGAAAATTTCAATTAAAAACGAATATTTATACTAAAATTAAAAATACCTTAAAATACCTATATGTAAAAAGTAATCAAGTTTAATATTTTCCCCTTCCTTAATTATAAACTCGCGCAGTTAACTCAAAACTAGAACCAAATTTCCTTTATTTTTACTAAAATAGGCGGAGCTTCTTATCCTTTTTCTCCTCTTAGGTTAGCTTTCCCATTCTTCCCCCTAAAATATTCATTGCTTATAGAGAGGAGGAGGAGGAGGAGAAGATGGAGGAGCGGTTCTTTTCCCGCCGAGGCATTTACTACTTTCCCATTCTTTCCATTCAACAATCGTTTATATTTATTTTTGCTGCTTGTATTTAGTAGTATTTATAACAAAACTGTCAACATTAAACCCTTTCCCGTAAAAACATTGCTTTACCCTCTTATTTAAATATTTGTCCAGCTTTTTATTTTTGTTCGGCATTTAATTCCCTTTTCATTTCTTAAATATTTTTATTCTATTATATGTAAATATAGTGTAGTATTAGGTATATTTACTCAACTAAATGTCTTCGAAAATTTTCAATTTTTTGCCAAAATTTTTATTTGAGTTTTAATTTTGAGTTTTATGTAGTTTTAACGTCCAATTACCAGAAACCTACCAAAAACTTTCTACTATAAAATTTAAAGTATCTGAAATTTAAGATTTAATAACAACCCTTAATCGTTTTTAGTTGGGGTCCCCTGAGATACACTGCGGTGCATATGTTTATGCACACTAGTTTTTTGTTCATAAGTTTATGCACACTTATTCAAAAAATATGTTCTATATGGCAATCGAAAGCTCTATCTGTATCTCAGTTGACATGTTTCTGCATTTTTCGAAATTCTGATATTTTCGAAAACTTTTCGACCGGTCTAACAGGTACTACATTTTCAACTTTTCGAAGAAATTTTTTTGAGGTCTGTAAAAAATATATGTGATTCTACTCTAGATTCTACATATAATACAAAAAAATCATCCAAATCGGTCGAGATTCGACCGAGTTATGAATTTTTGAAAATCGAAAAAATATCATATTTTTGCCATTTTTCGTCAAAAAAACGCTTTTTTTCGATTTTCAAAAAATCATATCTCCGTTCCGGAAAAAGATATTTCTAAGCGGTTTTGTGGTAAATACTCACAAAAATATGCTTTATCAAATGGGTTTGTTAAATTTTTTCCGAAAAATTTCTCCGAGGATATGAGATTTGGTATATCCGGTAGATCCTGATTATCTCGGCCAATTTTCATTTTCATGGAAAATGCAGAAACATGTCAACTGAGATACAAATAGAGCTTTCGATTGCTATATAGAACGTATTTTTTGAATAAGATTGCATAAAATTATGAACAAAAAACTAGTGTGCATAAACATATGCACCGCAGTGTATAGGTTTTATAATTTATCAAAATGTTCAGCTCATCTAAAATCCCGAAGAATCCCTCAAATTAATGTACGGGATTACGAATACGGGCCATAAAAATCCCGGAAATCCTCTCACGCCAACCTCTAATATTTACACATTTTATCTAATATATATTTTACTTTCCCATAAATTTTATTTTTTTTCTAAAAATTTTAATAAAATAATCATTAAATCCACTTTTCAGCAAGGAAATGTTTTATTTTTCCTTTTCATTTAAATGGCTTTTTCTTCTTCTTCAACTTGTGGATATTTGAAAAGAGAAATAATTCCTTTTAACTACTTTTAATACTTTCCACATTATATCTCCAAATGCCAAAATGTCCACCATTATTTCTTTATTTTCCCCTAATTCTTGACCTAAGGCACTCTTTTGCCAGGCTAAATTTCCTTATTTTCCTTCTTCTCTTCTTCCTGTTACTGACCGGTGGTGGAAGGGGTAATAGGGCAGCGGCGATAGCTAGAAAGCTGCCAGACTTGAATTGGCTATCGAGTAATATTATGTAAGTTTTTTTTTGAAATTTTATTAAAAAAATTAAAAAAATAAAATTAAAAAATAAATTCAAAAAAATCCTTTTTTTAAATTCCGGTCTCTATTTTCTCCCTCTTCTTTATTTATTTTCTTTATAACCCCCTAATTTTCTGCTTAAATTTGTTTTGTATATTTTCATGTGCTTTTGCGGCACGTTATATATTTTATATTTTATTTGAGTGCAAATAAAGAGAAGAGAATTGAAAAATAAAATTAGCGGACGTGCCCAATTTAACCCAATTCTGTCGAATCGACCGCAAAATAAATAAAAATAAATAAAAAATAATCAAATCCCCCCCCCCTTCCCTCCTTCAAACAATTGTGCCCTTTCCCCAATTTATTTTTTTGCTTCAATTCTTTTCTTATTTTGCGCGACCACCATTTGTTGTCACATTCAATTAAATTTAAATTTCATATATTTACATAAGTGTAAATGGAAAATAATCTAAGGACTTTTTTGGGGATATAAATATTTTTTAAATAAAACATGAACGTCTATATACATTGTATCACACCTTTGTGACAATCAGAGGTGGGTCAGAATTCCGATTTCCGAAAAAAATTTTTGATTTCCGATTTCCAAGTTTCGACTTTTGAGCCAGTTCCGATTTCCGGCTCTTGTGATTTCCGACACCTCTGACTGTTCCGACCCACCTCTGGTGACAATTAATGACCGGATATTTATTTATGTTATTTAGAGATTTGAGATAATATAAATTTTTATTTTTTTAATTCTTTCTTTTATTGTCATTGAATTTAAATTCTTCTCAATCAACACACTAATATATTTCTATGGCCTCAAATTTAAAAAAACAAAATACATATTTTTTCGGTTTAAAAATAGTCTTTTTTCCTTCTTCTTCAAGCATGCGACCACAATAAATAAAAATCTCATTTTGTTGTCAAGTGTCGGGTCTTTTTCATTTTTTCGTCCTTTTTTCTTGTGCCGATGCGCGGTATATTTCTAGATATTTTTCGTTAAAAGAAAGATGGATTGAAGATGGGCAGGTGTTTTGAAAGAAGAGGGAGAGCAGTTTAAAAAATGCAGATTTTTGGATAGAAAACAATTTAGTTGAAATATAATATTTTTTTGTTGGGGATTTTTTAAAGTATTTTTTTTCTGAAGAAAGAAGAAAGGGAATACTCACTGGCGATTGTGTAATTCTTTTTGGAAAATTTAAGGGGAATATATTTAGAGGTATCGAATAACAGTTTTAAGTGTTTGTTTGTTTGTTGGTTTAAATAAAAATTCAGAGGGGGATTTGTTTTTTGTTTTGATTTTTTTGGAAAATACATAACCCCCCCTTGCCCTTTCCTTATTATTTATTTTTAAATTACTGGCAAAAAAATAAAAAAATATTTTCAAGGTTATTTTATTAAAATTCCATTGAAGGGTATTGTCAGTTAAAATAAGCACATATGGTGCGATTCTGTTATATAAAGTGAACATCCAATTTGACTGATGACTGATCGGGAAATTGACCTTTTTCATTGTCGGCATTTTTGGTTGTAAAATGATTGATGGATTTTTTAAAATTATTTTTCTATTTAATTTTACATAATACAGTAAGGGGATTTTTTAATGCTTTTGATTTATCTTAAATAATTCAAGGGTTATAGTCACTCACCAATTACTCCTTCCAATTACTTATCAACAATTAATGGAGTCCGATTTGATTGTGAGAGGAAAATCCTTTTCTCTTATAAACCTTCCAAGGATTTATCTGTTTATAAATTTAATTTTTGATAGATTTTAAAATTATTAAAAACAAAACAAAAGTAAAATTATTTGTAACTTTTAGTATTTATTACTTTCATTAATTTTGTTCCTATTCTTCTCCTAGTATTGAATCTATCAAGGTCAGATAAAAACCATCCTTTCCTCTCTCCCAGACTACATAAATCGTTCTCGAGAGGGTCAATGAATGGTTTAAGTAAATAAATAAGAGAGGGGACTTTTTTAACGTTCATTTTAACTGAAGACTAGTAGCTAAAAAATAACCCTTTCTCTGATGCTTTTACTGTCCTTCAAAACTGAATCAATGGCCCTTGAACAGAAGATGACCCTTATTTTTGGCCTATAGAGAGGAAATAACTTTTTTTAATAAAAAAATATATTTACATAAATACAAGAAATATTATCTTTTAATTTAAAAAAAAATTTCTGAAGGAAAACTTCTAGGGAAATTAACTCCCATTAATTTCTCTCTTATCATTTAAAAAGTAAAGAGAAGAAAACAAGTTTCGAAGTTATTTTCTTTCGGATTATTTTTGTTGGATATTTTATTTATAGAGGGGATTAGCATTATCAGTTAAAAATGATTATATTTCTTCGAGAAAATTAAAAATTGATGTAGAAAGGAAATTGCTGAGAAAAAAAATTAAATAAATTAAAAATAAATAAATTTACAGTATATACTCTATTAATTACTCTGAGTAATTATTGTTTCGACTTTTCACTGGAGGGGGTAACTAATAAATACGGGGTAATTATTTGAGGGAGGGTAATTAATAGAGTATATATCTAGAAAAATAATCTAGAAAAATTAAACTAAAATTTAAATTTTTTTAAGTTCAAATAATTTATTTTAAAATTTTTAATTAATTTCTTTATACCAATTTTACATAATTTTTCTTCACTTTCCTTCATATTTAGTAGAATAATTAATTTTCAAAGCCTTTTTACTACACTTTTTTATCTTAATTTTCTCAACTTTTTTTTCCCTTTTTTTATTCAATTGTAGCATTTTTATGAATATATTTTCTTAAAAAATAATAAAAATTACTCTTTTTTGGTGACATTTTATTCCATCTATTATTTCTTTTTTTACAATTCTTTTCTTAAATAATAACACTCGTTAATCAACTTTGGGCTTTTCATTCATATTTTCTTTTTTATTTTACTTAAAAACGAAAAAATAAGTTTTTTTGTTAGCAATATGGGAAGAAAATGTTCACAATTATATTTTAAAGAAAATAAAAATAATTATTAAATAATTAAAGTGTAGAAATACTTCAAAAAATATTAGATAATGACTTGGAACGATATATGTATAATCTGGAATAAAATATACCTAGATAATTATTTAAAAAATTCATTTGTTTAAATAAATTTAAAAAATGCTAGTAATTAAAATATGAAGTGGAAAATTACTTAAAGTTTGGAAGAGTATAGGAGAATATCGAGGTTTGGGCCAGGGTTTTCAATTATCTCCTTGATCAAGTTATGTTCAAAAAACTCTATCAAGAAATATATTTATCTAATTTAAAAATACTATAATCAGATCCTCGTTTTTAAATATTTAATTTTTTTCAATTTAAAATTCGAGAAAATCTGAGAAAATAAAAAGTAAAATAAATTATCTTTTTACTTTTTTTATATTATCCATTTAATCGACCACCATCAAAACATTGTTTGTTCTTTTATTTCTTTTTTGTACAATGTTTTTATAAGAAAAACATGTCCATCTTGTTTGTTAGTAAATAAATAAAAATAAGGAAATGGGGGGTTTTTTGTGGGAATTAATGGATTATTTTTATTTTTTATTAAAAGAATTTTTGGAAAAAGATAAATAAAAATTAATTTGAAAAATTTATTTTATTTAAAAATAAATAGTATTTTAATTATTTAGGTTTTATTATTAATTTTAAAAATCAAACCTTGTTTTGACCTTGTTTTAAAAGAGATATCCAGCTATGTATTGTTGTTTTTATTAAAAACTAGAATTTTATTTTTGTTTTCTATTTTTCCGTGTCAATATTTATAAATTCACAGCAGGAATTAATAAATAAATAAATATTTTAATTAAAAATAAATATAAAATATAAATTTCTAGATTTGACATGAGCAACACAGAACATGTAAAAAGAGTTAATTTATTAGATAGAATAACATTACTTTGTCCTCCACCTGTTACTTTGGTAAATGAATATGAACATTCTAAATTATTTATGGCAAGTTTTTTTTAATTTTAATTAACAAAACTTTAATTAAAATTTAAAGTTTTTAATTAATTTACACATTTTTTTCACAAATTCATAGGCTAATTTTAAATTAGAAAGAATTATAAAAATCTCTTAAATTTTAGACTTTACTAGATTTCAAAAAATATCAAAAAAAATTTTTTTTAATTTCCATTTATATTTTTAAAAACTAATATTTTAAAATTATCTTTTTACAATTTTCTAAAAACAATTTTTTTTAAATTTTCTTTCCTTTAATTTACTTCCGTTTTTGTAGTAAAAATCTTCCAACATTCCTTCCTCTTCTATACTTCCTTCTAAACAATCAATTTGCTTGACAAAAGCCTTTCTTTAAAAATTCTTTAAAATTTTTATAAAAAATTAAAAGAGGGAATTTAATAAATAAATAAAAGATAAATAATTTTAAAAAATTTTAATACATTCAATGATTTGTCGAAACCTTTTTTTAATAATTAAATAGACAATAAAGTCAATTTATTCTTATTTTTCTTTTAAAGAGGAGGGAGGACTTGCAGTTCTTCATCTTCAAATTTAATTTATTTTTTCAAACTTTTTCTTTAATTTTTTGGCCAATTTGTTATTTTCAATAAATAAACATATAAATTAGCTAACAAATACTTGTATTTATTTATTTAATTTTATTTTCTAATTCTTCTTTTCCTCTAGGGAGGGGAGGAGGACATTTTCTCTCGCTTATCTTCTTTTCTAGTAAATGAAATCCGATTTTCTTTAACAAAAATTTAATGTTGAAAAGGAAAAGGAAAAAGGAGGGAGGTTTTGGTCATTTTCTGCCAAATTTAAATAAAATTGTGGAAATTTAGAAAAAAAAATAATTTTAAAAAATTTTTTAGACTAGTATATAGGGATTGAAAATAATAATACATTGATAATTAGTCAAGATTTTTTAAGCATGAAGAAGAGGGTTGGGGTTTTCGAGTCGGGCCGACGTTCGAGTCATTTTTATCGGGACAGCCCGACCGTGTCTTTTTCGGGCCAAAATTCGAAGCACGGCTCGATCTTTCGGACCGGACCCGGCCTCCAACCCTTATGGAGAATATTTTTACAAAGTAATAAATTTGCAATCCCTTTAAATTAATTTAAAAATAGCAATAATAAAAATATTTTTTAACAAAAAAATTCTTTTATTTTTCCAATTTTCCCTCATAATAATTGGTTGTTTCATCTATTTTCTCTACATAATAATATATTTTTATTTGAAACCAAACAACTAATTTGAGACCTAGAAATATAGCGGTTGTCTGCAAAAATAAAATAAAAGAGAAAAGAAAATAAGGGGGAGGGAATGGACATTAAAATAAAATAAATTTATTTTTTTTTAAATTCCAAACTAATTGGGCATGGAAATGAATAAAAAGGCAGGAGGGATATTCTTGATTATTTGTTTTAATATAAATGACTTGCGTGACAGAAATTAATTTATTTAAATTTTAGTTAATTTAATAGAAAATTTTTTAAAGAAAAAACAAAGAAATAATTAAAGTTATATTTTTGGATAATAATTTAGAAACGGGATAGTTTAGAAATTGAAGTTATTGTAGACAATTGGTATTTAAGAATCTTTTCATATTTATTTAAATTAAAATTAGGTAAGAATCTATTTTATATTTAATAAATTTTGTATTTTTTAATTGCCATCCTTATTAAAAGATATATTTTGTTATTGTTGCTATGGAAGTAATAAAAATATATAAATTTATTATAATTTATTATTTTTATTTTCTGGCAAAAGCATCCAATTTCACATCATTTTCATTTATTATTATACCCCCTAATTCCTTCTGCTTCATTCCCTTTTTCAGTTCATTATCTTCAACACCTGCTGGGCAATTTATAAATAAAATAATAAATAAAAATATGTGTTATGGATATAATAAATCAAAATTTTTATTAAAATTTTTTGTTAAAAGAATGAAAAAAGTATTTTTTCATTAAAAATAATTAATAAATAATTTTTTAGAATTTATTTTAAATAATTTTTCATTAATTAACTTTTTTTAAAATAATAAGAGATTTGCAAAAAAAATTCTCCCAAACTCCAACTGTGAAATAAAAAAATAATAATAAAGTAAACAAAAAATAATAAAAATATTTTAATAAAAAAAAGAAAAGTAAATACATATTTATTTAAATATTTTATTTAAGATATTTTTTGAAATTTAATATTAAAATTTAATTAGAATATTATTGTAATATTTTTTGGAGATTAATAAAAAAGCGAAAATAATTATATTTTGTTCTTTTAAAATACATATGTATTCCAATTCCAATTAAAAATCTAACTTTTCAAATTGCCGGGCCTGGTATCCGGTTTTTTCTTTCAAACTGACCCCGGACACGGTTCCTGGGCAACTGGGCCCGACTGGGTTCGAGCTCTAATTTTATTAATCATTTAAAAACAAAATTTATATTTAAAAAGAAAATTTTTTGCAATTTATATTTTTTTAATTAATTTTTTATACGAAAAAAAGAACTACTTCAAATTAGGCACTCCTTGACCCGTTTCTCTATAAGATTATCCCCATCCTTTTCTCTAATTTTTTTTAAATTTTCTCTTTTTCAATTAAAAATATCCGCCTCTTCAGCTTATCATCTTTCTCTTTTTTTTATTTATTTTTTTCCGACAAAAGACCCCTCAAAAAAGATTAAGGTCATTAAGTGAGAGAAGAAAGAGCTGTTAAAAATTCTTTTTTAATTATTACCTAAAAAGAAAATTTTTTTTAATATTTAAAGGTATCCAGAGATTCATATGAACGTTGTTTTCTCAGTGGAGGTGAACGCCAATTAGGTGTTTGTTCAAGTCCAGATCGCCAATCCTCCATTACACTTGTCTTTCGAGAATTTTCTCCTTTGCCCTCTGCCTTTACTTTTAAACCTGGGCATTCTTATTTTGTGATAAGTTTGTTTTTTCTTTTTTATTTGGAAAATTTAAAGTAATTTGTTGATAAATAAAATCTTCGTCCTTTGAATCTTTGAAAAAAAATTTTTTTTCTAGCTCAAAATAGCCTATTGGAAAGAAACTTTTTCTGGATTAGATTGAATTTTGAAAAGAAATCCATCTCCAAATTTTAATTAAAAAAAGAAAATAAATTCATATCAAAATCCAAATTACTTATTATTTTAGCAACGTCAAATGGTACTTTAAATGGCTTAAATAATACACAAGGAGGTTTGTGTTCAACAAGAAATATGAGATTAAAATTTGATGTTTTACCTTCAATTTCTTCAAACGAGAATGGTTACCTAATATATTTAATTTTTTTTAATTTTTTAACCAAAAATTATTTTCTTTTTTCAAATCCTCTATATGTAGAAAACAAAACCTGTTAAAATCTCAAAATTCTTTACAAAAATTCCCTACAATTTTTCTTAAAAAATAATTTTTCAAACAGATTTAATAGACAATCACCAACAACAACAATTAATAATTTCATCATCAGAACAACAAAAACAACAAAATTCTTCAAATAACCAAACAATTCACCACAGACATACAAAACAACATCCCCACCCCCATCCCCACCATCCCCACCATCACCACCACAAATCCAAAGAAGAAAAACCAAACCCTCAACAAAATTCAAAAGAATTACTGCCAACATCTTCAGAACATCCCCCTTTTCTTTATGTAATACATACAGATAATGATGATAAACAATCAAAAATAATTTTTGGGGCAGAAGAAGAAGGAGGAATTTCTTCTAATGTTTTGGAACAAGAAAATTATGAAAATGGAAATTTGGAAAGTTTGGATTTGACAACAATTTTTAATGAATATTTGGGTAAATTTAATAATTTTAAATTAAATCTAAAATTATTTTTTATAGAATCATCATCAAATAAACTTCAGATATCGTGGAATTTGTTAATGATAATATTTATTTTATGGATATTATAAAAAAAGAATTTATTTATTTTTTAAAGATGGGAAAAGAAATACCGGTTTTTTAAAATTAAAAATATATATTATTTTTTTGTAAATATTTTTTAATAAATGGAGTTTGTTAATTGAAATGAGTAGATTTTCGGAAAAAATTATTTCAGACAATTGTGTGTTTTTATAAGAAATTTTAAATTAAAAAGAGGAGTAGGGAATAGAAAAAAATTATTATATGTAAGATCCGTGGGAAATATTCCGAACAGTTGAACCCTCTCAAAACTCCATTCCCTACTTCTTTAATTTAATTCAATCTCCATAACCTTCTAAATATTTTTCTTTATTTTCATCTTTCGTTTTTATTATTGCCAACACCTTCAAAATTTTTCCTATGTACAAATTTATATTTTTAAAAATTCCTTATAAATTAACTATAAATATTTTAAAATAATTTTATTTTTTTTAAAAATATCTACAAAATTTAATTTTAGTAAAAATAGAGAGAATGGATTTAAATTTAAAAATAATTAGCTAAAATAAACATTTTAAATATTTAGATAAATATAAATCCATTAATAAATTTAACATAAAAAATTTTAAACCGGTAAAAGAAAATTTGAGAGATCAGAAAACACTAATTTTTAAAGAAATTTAAAGATCAAATGAACAATGTTTGTGATCTGAAACAGATTCTAAAAAATTTCTTGGCTTGAACTAATGATTTTTGGGATTTTTCTGTAAAGAATTATTTGCTTTTAAAAATAAGAGAATTTTAAATATTAGGTGCGGACATAATTAGTGGCCGTTTTTTAATTTGGTTTTTTTGAATTAATTTCCTTAAAAATATTTTTTATTTTTACAACAAATCATTTGTCAGTGTATTGTCTAAAGGATCCCAGAATTTTAAAATTTTTGGTTAGGTATTCAGGGAGTTCTGATCGAAAATGTCAAAATTTTCGAAATCATCATAAATCAAATTTTTTCGAGTATATGTAAAGCTAATATTTAGTGTAATATATCATTCGAAAGCTCTTCAAAATCTCTATCAGGAGGACACTAAGTCAAATTTTTATTCCGAAAGGTCTAAATTTTTCAAAAAGTTCGAAATTCGAATTCCGGGTTCGACACGATTTACAGACTTTATATTTCGGATTTAGTATAAGCCCTCTATGGGATTTAAAAAACCGTTTAGATCATCCTGATCGGATATTTTACGCTGAGTTATAAGAAACAACTTTTTGGGGGAGTGTCGTGTCGTTTTCCCATCAGTGCAAAAGAGCGTACACGCGGCATTTGATTTGCCTTCCTCAAGCGCAGACCGCGTTTTTGAAGTCACGCGTGGACATACGTATAGAGCAGATATCTCTCTATAATTCAGCAGTAGAAATAAGCGGATTCCATCTAAGCCGGCCGAGCAGGACCGTTTTCTTAATGACAGCCGTCTCCCTCGACCATGTTTGCATCTGAGAGTGGTACGGCCTTATTCATAAAGCCTGAACCCTATTTTTTGCTGTCTAGCATAGATAACGACCCCATTGACTAGATCATTAAGATTATTTGATTCTTTTGTTGCATTTTTGATAATTTAAAATTTTTGGTGTAAATGCTTGTGAATTTCACTACGAGGTAGTGAAGTTCAAAAAATCATAACTCTAAGAATCTAACCCGTATATGGATAAACCTGGTATTAAAATGAAGAGCAGATTCGATTTTTATGTTGATTAAAAAGTAGAAAGAATATATGTAAAATAACACCCCTAAAAATCTAATCTAAAAAAACGGCCACTAATTATGTCCGCACCTAATAATTCTAAAAAGAATTTTTAAATGTGAGCGATATATTAAAATGTCGCAAAAATTAATTTAAAATTAAATTAATTTATAGAAGCATAATCACGATTATTATTAACAATTTTTCCATCTGGATGCAAAAGTGGAGCTGAGTTTTTTAAAAATATTTTTAAATTTAAAATAAAAACATACAAACAGAAGCAACAGCCAAATTCTGTTGACCTTTTAAATGTCCATTTTGTGTATTTCCATTAGAGAGACGCTGCAAAGTTAATTCACTACTATTTACTGACATTGTTGAAGCATTGAAACTACTTTAAACAATTTTTATTCAATTATATCATATCAATTAAGGAGGATTAGGGGAACCCCCAAGGGCCACATTTACTTTTTTTCCTTTACCTAGTATCAGGTAAACGTAAGGAATCTGTAGGTAAATTAACAACACATCCAAGAATATCCCATTCTGGCGGTAATTTTCCATTAAGAAAAGCATTTGTTGTAAATTTAGAAATAAATATTGTTGTTAATAAACTAGCAAGCATTGACATTGTTCGGAAAGGAAAATATTGGATTGAAGTTGAAGGGTCATAACTTGAATTTAAAAATAAATTTTTTTTGGAAACTTAAAGATTATACAAAGGATAATGAATTATTGCTTTAAAATGTAAAAGTGCTTCTCCTCCAGAAAGTCGTAGAATAAGTCCAACTTAAAATAAATAAATATATTTTTAATTAAAATAAATTTAATTTTTTAATAAGTAATAGATTATTAGGGAATTATTTTTAAAATATTTTTTATTTAAAGGATAACATTGAGAACGATTAAAGATTTCTCGTAGATTGAGTTAACTAATCTCAAAATGTATATTCAGAATTTTATTTAAAAATAAATTTATAATTAATTAGAAAGTAATTATTTTAATTAAATTTACCAATATATCCAGCTAAACACCCATAAGTATTACTTTTATGAAAATAAACAACACACAATAATTGTGGAAAAAGAATTACATAAACCTATATTCAAAAAAAAATATATTTTTAATTAAAAAAATTATTTATTAACCAAATCAGCACATAAATACCACAACCCATAAATTGAATTTATTGTTAGAGCCATTATTGTTGCTAATATACCAACAGCAATAATACTTTAAATAAATTATTTATTTAATTATTTGATTAAGTTAACCTAATTCTCATTACATAAATAACTTCTCTTTCACTAGCCTTTAATTAAAAATATAAATTACATAAAAATAGATTTTAAAAAGTATTTTAAATCCAGGATGTTACACTAGGGTTGGCCCGAAAAAGACTCATACAGCCCGGACCGATAAAAACAAGTCCGAAGAAAAGCTTCAAACGTAGGCTTGACTCAAAAACAGCTTTAAAAACATCTAACTCAATATGGAACCTCATCAACTTTAAAATAAGGAATTTTAAAATCCCATATCCTTTTCTCTTTTTAAAAATAATGTATACAAATCTTTTGTAAAAATAATTATTTTATTAATTTACATTAGGACGAATAGTTAATTTCCAAATATTATGGGCAAACATAGAGGCAGCTGATAAAACGGAAGAATCAGCTGAAGACCTTAAAAGATTTACAAAATATTTTTTAATAAAAAAATATTTTAAAAACATCACGGCAGCAGAAACAGCCCCCAAACCAATAAAAGCAACCCATTTTGGAGTTAAATATTGAAAAACTAGAGGAACAACTTGAGATGTTTGATCGGCTGGGATTGATACAGTCTTTGTTCCATTACCCCACGGCGAGTATTCGGTTAATGACCAGTCTTTAATTTAAATAAAATAATTTAAATTTTAAAAATGGAAATGGAAAATGAAAATATTTTTTAATTAAAATAATAAAATAATTCTAAATATTTGGTTTAAAATTCTATAATTTATACATTAGTAAATATTTAATAGGGTTGGACAGAAATGGCTGGCCGAACCGAAAACGGGATTTTTAACAGATCAACAAGACCGAAACCCGGTCGAAAATCTGTGATAACCGCAAATCGGCGATACCAAGGGGTACAGATTAATAACCGGTTGTCACATCCTAATTAAAGTCAATCACTATTTAATTAATTAACCAGTATTTCTCGCAATAGCCCCAATAATTGCTGGAGGAATTGCCATTAAAATACAACCAATTCCTGCCACAAAAGACAATCTTTGAGCACCTTTAGATGTTCGGGAAGAAAGTACTCGTTGAAAGTAAACCTTTTTTTAATTAAAAAATAATTATTATTTCCCTTCCCTCTCTAAACCTGCCAAGGTATTCCACCAAAAATTAACAACAACATACAGTCAATCCAAAGTAATTTCTCTTTTAACCCCCCAATTTGTCCAATCCAACCGGTTGGATTTGCAGATAAATCACTCGTTTTCTTTTGTAAAAGAGCTGCGGGAATACAAACCCACAATCCAATAAATATACAAAATAATTGGACAACATCTGTATATCTTTAAAAATTATTTTTTAAATATTTTTAATTCATCAAAATAATTTGAAATAAACAATTCCCAAAATTAAAGGTTCAATTTAGTCTTTCCCAGACTAGGATATAGACACGGATTTTGCTATCCATGTCCGGACTGTTTAAAATTTTTACTGGCCATTTTGGCAGGGTCTTAATTAATATTAATTAATTTGTTTGACAGATTTTCTTATTTTTGTTAAATTCCTTAATCTGGATAATTAATTATTAACATCTCTTTTTCCTTTCCTTTTATTTTAATCTTAATTATTTAAAAAATTAAATAATTTTTAAAACTTACGCCACAGCATAAAGGCCACCAGTAAAAGTATAAAATACAGCAATAAAAGCAGAAAGAATAACTGATGCTGCCATATCCATTCCTTTTAATTTAATTAAATTTAATTTTTAATTAATTCCTTACCAAGTATTACTGATAATGTGGCACCTAAAAATTAATAAAAATTAATTGAAAGAATTATTTTAAATAAAATTTTTAATTAAAAAAAAATAACCCAAAGCAGAAAGAATAGCAGCAGACCAAAAAACCTTTAAAAAAATAAAATTTTAAAATAATTTTCCAAAGAGAAAATAACCTCTCCAAGTAAAGCAGGTATAAACATCAATCCTCCAACTCTCTGCCCATATTTTATCTTTTTAAATAAAAATTTGTTTTTATTAATTATTTAATTAATTATTATTAATAATTATTAATTACCTGGAAAGGATCTAGCATCGTTACATACCCCTGTTCCCGCATTGGATGGGCAAAAAATATTCCCCCCATAACTAACGACAAAGCATAGCCGACGGGCGCCTGACAACCCAATATTCCGCCATTATAGAGGGCTTCAGCTGTTCCATTTATATAAGCGCCCCCTACCCACGTTGCTAAATAAAAGAAAAATTTATTTGAAAAATTAATTAAAGAAAATTTTTATACAACTTTCCATTCTAAATAATTTATTTTTCCTTCATTTCTTTAATTATTAGCTATTCAAGCTTGGCTAATTCAGAAAAAAATATTTCATGTATCCTTTTAAAATAATTATCTTTATAAATTTTTCATTAAAAATTTTCTTTATTTTTTTAAAAAATTAATTTTTATTTAATTAAAAACCACTTTATTTATTTTTACCTGTCATAGTAAAAATTCCAACAAGTGTACCAATATTTCTGCCAGCAAGCATTACCTACAAAAACAATTTATTTAATTATTTAATTAATTTATTTACTTCTTCTGTCTGTCCCCCTTCTATAACATTTTTTGTTTCATCTGTTTTTCGACCAGCCCAAATTCCAACAATTAAAATTAAAATATAAAAGAATATTATTGCAATAATTCCTAACCAATCGACCATTCTTTATTTTTTTCTAATAAAACTTTTGGGGAAATTATTTAAAATTTTTTTTAAATTTTTTAATAAAAATAAGAAAATGATTAAAAATTTGTAAATAAGAGATCAAAAAAATTTTTTTAATTTATTTAAAAAATAAAATTTAAAAAAAAAAAGTAAAATTATTTCCAATCCAAATAAAGCTTCTCACTTCCCAATTTTATTTTAGTTTTTAGTCAGATATAAATTTAATTAAAAATAAATTATTGTCTGGTGCCAATAGACACAAAAAATTAATTTAAATTTTAAACATTTTAATTAAAAAAAGAACAAATTTTTATTTAAAAAAGTTCTCTTTTAAATTTTTTGATTTTCTCTCTTTTAGTGACAAAAAAGCTCGATATATAACTCCTCTATCTTTTCCTCAATTTTATTCCCTTTATTTGGCTCAATGTCTGTTTTTTTTTCTAAATTCCCGTGGGAGCGTTCAGTTAAAATTGTGTGTTAAGGGGAAATAAAAAATTCTTTTGTGCGTGTATTTATATGTTCAAAGCTTTGAAATTATTGGAGGGAGGTAGAAAAAGAGAAAAAGCCAACCGGAACTCCTTTTTCTAAAAAACAAAATGTCATTGATATTTTATATATATTTCTTATTTTGTTTTGGAAACCAAAAAAGCAATGTTTGAAAAGCCGGAATTTTTGGGTAATAAAGAGTGGGTGGATTTGGAGGGTGGGAGAGGAAGGAATAAAGGGTGAGAAAGCTTGAAAAAATAATATAAAATTCTTTTAATTAATTAAAATGATTTTAATTAACGGAATAATAATATGTACAGAGTGCCCCAAAGTAATGGGGGCACATTATTTATGCCATAACTTTATTAAATTTAATATAACGAGATAAAATAAAAATTAAATGATAGAGAATTAAATAAGGAACAAAAATAATCAGGAATTCTCGAGGTGCCCACCCCTTGTTTGGAAATTATTGGAGGGAGGTAGAAAAGTGCTTTAAAAAGTATACAGTGAATATCTTTAAAATTTAAAAATATTTAAACACGATTGGAAAGAATTCTAAAATTAAAGAATATCTCTTTATCTCTTCATTTCTGATATACTTAACTTTAAAATGAATTTTGGAATGTTTATGGTGTATTTAAAAATTAGAAAATTATCAAAAATAATAATATTTGTGTTGTTCCTATTTCCGTTTGCCCTGAATAAATTTTTAAGCAAAAATTTTGGTATGAAGAAGGAACAAACGTTTAAATTTTTTGATTTTTGTTACCTTCTTCTAGACGGAAATTATTTAAATATTTGTTATATAAATGAACAAATTCAAGCATTCATGCCGTTTTAAAGAAGGAAATTGGCCAAATTTACGTTCCTTTTTTGTTCATTATTTACAAGTTTTTTCTTAGCTTTTTGTGAGGCTTTTTGTTCATTTTATTTAAATATGCGTGTTTAAAGTTCTTTTATTTTTTAAGAATAATTTCTGACGTTGTTAAGCAACCATGGTTTTTATTTAAAAAATTTTTTTATTATTTTAAATAAAATTATTTTTAATATATTTTAACTGGTTTATAATCGTTTGCCCTTTTATTCTGTTGTATAGTAAATTTTTAGTTGCCAAAATTAGAGTTCATCGGGTCGGGATCCCGGGTTTTGAAACCCGATCTCAATTTTGCTGATCCCTAGACCGAAAGATAAATCCCGATCCCTGCTTCGGCAAATCCCGATACGGCAGTGAAAACCCTAAGTCGAAAAAACATTTCGTATTGCTCTGCTTTAAATTAGGTCCGAATTCGAAAACAGTAACTTTAATTATAAATTATTGCTCCTATTTCCGTCTGCTTTATTTTCTTAAAAATAAAAATGCAAATTGTGTTAATTTGAGAAAAAGATTTTTTAACTAAACAAAATTTAATAAATTGAGTTCAAATTTCAAAAATAATTTTGTGGGAATATTTTAAAAAATTAAATAAATAAATAAAAGATATTCTCATATTCAATCGAAAATGTTCGTTTGCTTTTTTTAATTTTAGAAAAGTGATGTTTTTTAAATAAAATGATGTAAATATATTCGAGGTTTTTTTTCTTTATTTTTAAAGAAAATATTCCTCGCGGGAATTTGGGCGATGAAAAGAATTCCAATAAATAAATAAAAAATACATACAAGTAAAAAAAAGGAAGATTTTTAACATCAAAAAAAAATTTTTTCTAGAAAATAAAAAGAACACCCCTATAAACACAAAAGGCATCTAAATTAAGTGTTTTATAAAAGATTTGGCAAAAAAAATTTTTGTTGAAGAAAATTGTAAAAACGGAAGTAAATGCAAAAAAAGGAGACGAAGACGTTCGAATATATGTTTTTAAAGGAAAATTGACGCAATTTGTTAACAAATAAATTGAGAAAAATATTTTTTTAAAAACTTGCGCTTTTAGTTTTTTTAAAAGAAAAGTAGAGAAATAGGAGAGCCTGGGAAAAATTGTTGTGTTTATTAAAGAAAATGTATGTTTATTTAAATATTTAAATTAAAAATATTTTTGTGAATTTAAAGAATGGGTATTTTTTAAAATTATTTTTGCTGATTTTTAATAATTTAATTTTCAACCCAATTAATGCCTAAATTTTATCTATTCTGAAAAATTTTACAATTATTAACTAAATATTTCTTTGGTGATATACATATTTTAGAGGAGTTAATTTATTAAAGAATTGTCAGCAAAGATTAAAAGAATTTATTTAATTTAAAAACAATTTATAAAATCAACAACGTTTTTAATTTTATTTTTAATTCGAAAATTTATTAAATAGCTCAACTAATTTTTACCTCATACTCGAAATAGTTTAATTATTTTCCTTGAATTTTTTAACAGAAAAAAAATATATTTTTAAGATTTTCATAAAATTTTCATAATAAAAATTCAAAATTAAATAACAACAAAAATATTCAAAATAAACTCAAAATTAATGGGAAATTGTTTAACAATGACATTTATAAAAAAAACTAAAAAAAATAAAGAAAATATTTTAAAAGTTAACACAATAAATTGGCATTTGAATGTACGAATCCCAAAACTATTCAAATTGAATTACTAGAGACGTAAATCCTGTTGCCACAAAATCAAAATAAATTTGCTGTTTATTGCCTTTTTTACTCAAAAAAATTTTCTGAGGAATTTAAAGAAAATATTTATTTTTATTTTTTTATTTAAAAATTCAACCGATTTAATCCCTCTTGCTGGAAAATGAAATAAAATTCTAATTTGCACGAAAATGGTAAATGAAAAGTCAAAATATTATCGAAAGAAATATTCCAATATTCCAATTCAGCTACCTGTGAAACAAAATCTGAACAAAATGAGAATTCTAGACCGGTCCCGTCTCTTCTAGAGTTGGTCAAAACCTTTTCCTATATCTCTAGAATTTACGATTTTATTTTAGTTCAAAATTTGTGTGGAGACTGAATGAATGATATAATTTATGTTTGGACAAAAATACCATCATAACAAGTCCAGGCTAAAGGAATAATCTCGACCATCTTTTTTGCTGGAAAATGAAGAAAAAATAAAACTTAAATCTGGATGAAAAAGGCAAATGAAAAGTCAAAATAGGATCGAAGGAAATATTCCAGTTTTGTCAATCAGACTAAAAACTTAAGAGATCCAAACAAAATTCTTTCCTAACTAAATCAAATACATACTAACTCAACCCTAAAAAAACAAACAAAGAACACAAGCATTTTTACATATTTATTTATTCAGTGAAAAAAAACATCAAGTAAAATGCATACAAAATCATTACAAAAAATAATCAGGAAATACAACAATTGTGAGAAAAAAAATCAGAGGGGCACAAGATATATGTGAATATAAGGGACAAAGAACAATGCCTAGTATATGTACATATATATCAATCACTAATCTCATCCACGTCTTCTCTTGTGCTTCCGTTCCAGTTCTTTGCGCTCCTCTCTTTTCCTCTTGATCAGTTCCTCGTATTCTTTGATGAACGCGTCGACGCCTCCCGCTTTGTCTACCCGGTTCAGTCGGCCTTTTTCCAAAGCAATGTCAATGAGCGCACGGTGGAGAAAAAGGTACTGAAAAAATAAAAGATTTTTGGTAGAGCAAGGGAGCTTTTCAGATTTAAAAGGCACCTGCAAATCAGTCTGGATTGCATGGGCCCTCTGGTCGCGCAGTCGCTGGAATATTGTAGACATTTGCACTTCTCGGTCGTTGGCAATCAGGTCCCTGTAGGCCATCTCGATCGCGGCATATGTCCCCGTACGACCTGTAAAGGGAAAAAGACCAAAAATTTTAATCTCCCAAATCCTTAAAACTGACCAATTCCAGCACTGCAGTGGATGAGCACAGAGCATTTTCGTGTTACTGCCAACTTTTGGACCGTCCCGCGAAGCTGACGAAACGCTGCTGGTGATAGTGGTACATCGCGATCCGGCCATCCATCGTAGAGAAAGTGCACGACCTCAACGCTCCGACCGCTCGGAAGTGACGCATCGATAACTGTCCTGTGAACGCTTGGGTTGGCCACGGTAGCATGGGTTGACTCCTTGACAGATACGGTCGCGTTCCCATAGAGCGTTGGCTCGGCAGGGATGTAGTCTGCACACTTCTCACGGCCTTCCTCTTGATTTTGACAGAGCTGGACGATGACCTTAAATAAAATATGGAACAGCTTTATAAAGGAAACTAGTTATTTCGAATAACCCACCCCGCAATTCTGCTCCACAACCATCGTCCAGAAGTTGGCAATTGATTCGTCGATCGGACCCTGAGCACAGATCATCGGAAACTCGGAGCCCTTCACCTTTGACGCGTGCACGTAGTCGCTACCTATAAAAATGAAAATTGTTTTATTTTTAGGAAGAGCGTTGGCACCTTCAGGCCCATCTCTAAGGACAACCCTTGTTTGGTCGATTAGTGCCACATCTGGATACCGGTTGAGATCAGCGTTTCTCTCATCATCAAAGGCCTTGGTTGTTACGCGCTTTGACCTGTAGGTTGCGAGATCGTTGACGAACTTTTCCCGTATGCGCCTGATGCCGCCATGTCGCACTAGAGCTGTAATAATAAAGAAAATGATTATATGTATGTGTGCGAGCGAAAGAAAAGAGCGCAAGATAAACTCAAAAAACTCACAGTAAAACCAGCGTTGGGCTGCTGTAGCATGCTGCGAGATTGTTGATCCTGTTGATTGAGTAGAGGGCCTACGAGGATCGCCAGAACCACCACCGGAACCACCACGAGACGGACGATCAACAGTTGCACGTGCACTCGGACGCTTGAGGACTGAACTCTGACGCCTGCCACCTTCAGTGTCGTACTTTTGTTTGCTTTGTTTGTTCCTGCCAGATCGCCCTTTCTGTAAATAAAAGAATGAGAAGATTAAAAAGACAGAAGGCGGTAGTAGCAAAACTTACACTTGCGGCCATCTTTTGTCGTCACAGAGAAGCTGTTGTCGAACGGCGTAGAAGTCCACGTGAAGCTGCCAAGTAGTCGATCAAAGCAATTGTGCTAAGTAGTTGACTGGATACGATAAACTTCAGTGATTATCATTACTTTTATAGTTTTTCCAGACCTATCACATCATATCTTAAAGCCCCGTCTATATAAAAACCCCAGAAAAATTATCTTCCTTATCAAATTCTCCACCGTCATTCTACCATAATTGGTTTCGCCATCTCAACAAGCAAACTCCACGTTCAAAATGTCTTCATCTAGCGAACAGGTTCCTGCGCCATCTGGTTCTCCTCCACGTTCGCCCGAAGATGAATCAAAGACGAAAGGGTAAAGCTTTTAATTTTGTTTTGAATTTTGTTTGTTTTATACAGTAATTTACCCACTTTTCAGTAAATATCGGTTCGAGGTTGCAGTGCTCGCTTTGGCTACCATGATCTTTGCTGTTTGCATTCTTCAGGCATTGGCCACTTCTGAGTTCTTCATCGTTCGACTGGTAGTCCTGCCTATGGCTTTGTTCTTGGCTTTCTTTGGATATGAGGCAAGCAATCAAAAACGGAATAAAAGAACAATTTCCTTAAAAAATTTTCAGTGGGTCACCTACTTCTCTGATGCCTTGACTCGTCGCAAGAGGGCCTACTTTGATGTGAGGAACATTCTAGAGACATACCAGCCGCGGAGAAACACCGATTTGGCTCGTCAATTTAAAGTAACCTGCCCTTTAGTTTACTTAAATTTCTAAAAAATTTAGCCAGACCCGCCAACTCCTAGCGTTTCGAACCAGCCGACAAAGGTTACTCGTATTACTGCTGATCCCGGCCCGAATGCTGTTGGTGAAATTGGAGGCGGGGCGAAGAAGGACTTTGCGGCTTGGAGGCGTGAGGTGAGAAACAAATGAATTTTGTAACAAAAAAAAATAATCAAAAATTCTTAGCACTACGAAAACGAATATGCAGTTGCCATGCAGGCACGTGCTGGACAAGTAAGCCTCTACGAACCAAGCCCCGGCGAGGTTGTCAATGGGACTTCTACGGCTGCAAGCGACAACGAAGGGGGTAGTCCAGTAATTCCTGTTGATAGTATTGAACAATACAAAGCAGCTAAATCGGCTTCGAATGAAAAACGGGCTGAGGGTTCAAAGGATGGCAAAACCGATGAGAAGAAGGAAGAGTCCAAAGAAGAATCAAAGGACAAGGCAAAAGAGGAGGCAAAGCCGGGAGAGGATGAGAAGAAGAAAAAAGAATCTAATGAACCTTCTAATACGCCGGAAAAGAAATGAAAGGAAGAAGATAAAAAAGAAAATTGTTGATAAATTTGTATGTATGTATTTGTAGGATTGTAAATAATATTCTTATTAGTGTTGTAGGGGATAATATAAATATTGTGTTTCATTAATAATTACTGTAAATTATTGTGTTTGATTGTACCATAAAAACGTGTATCTATATTGGTTAATTTCTAGGGTTACCTAATTTAGAAAAAATTAAACTTCATTAGAATAATTGTTCAAGTGAATTTTGTTTATGTTTTAAACATTTTACCAACTTGAGACTAGATTTAAAAGAAATAACTTGTATTTAAGAGTAAAGTTGATTTCAATTTAGGGTGAATTAGGGTTCTATTTTTATTGTGTTTCTCGAAATTTTAAATATTTGTTGACAACTCAGCTCTCTGAATTACCTACTTATAATTCTCAAATTTAAAATTAATTTATATTTTTTTAACTTCAATATATGTTAATCTCTAGGCCTAATTAATAGAAAAGAATTTTTTAGAAGACTCGATTAGATTAACTGTTTAAATGAATTATGCATTTAAAAAACAAATATGAATTTTATATATTTAAATTAAAAAATTGAGGCAATATTTGGCTGTAAAATTATGGCAAACAAAATATATGCATTTTTGAAAGGTTGGGGGAAAAAGAGAATCACAAAATTAATAATTTCATTTCAATTTCAATCCATGCTTAAAGAAATTGTTTTTTGCGTGTGTAAAGTTAATCTTCTAGAATCCCCAACTGGATATTTAAAGGAATTAGTTACAGCTTTTTGCCTAGCAGTTTGATCAAATTCTGCTAAAGCAACATTTCTTGCATTTTGTAAACAAGGTAACCAACGAAGTAAATGTTTTAAGGCTGCGTGGATTCTTCTATTTGTTGCGTAATAAACAAATGGATTTACTATTGAATGAAACATTGCTAAAGTATGGGCGCCCCACCTGAAAATTATTTTTGAAAAAAATCTTGGAGGGAATTTTTATAATTTAGACACGTCCCCTAACTTATATCCCCTCCCCTTTCCCCTCTCTTATACCTTCTTCCTAAAGGGGGTTCTAATTTAGACCGGTCCCCTCTCTTCTTGTGTTGTCCAAACCTCCTACTTGTTTATTTAAAAATAAAACTTCCTACCAAATATAAAGAATATATGGATAATTGAGTGCACCTGAATCATATGTTACCCAAATATTCATTAATAAATTTTGTGGTAACCAACAAACAGCATATAAAGCACTAACTAATAAAACCATTGGAATTAACTTTAAAATTCAAAATTTAAATTTAAAATCTTTCCAATTTAATTTACTTTTTTAACAGATTCCTTCCTTTCTTGACTAACATTTGCATGCACAACTGTATGAGAACTTTTTCTTCTATTAGAATTATTTCCAACAATTTGAGAAGAAGGGCTTTTCTTTAATAATTGTTTTTGTGGACAAATGTTAAAATTGGCTGCACTAATTGTTGAACCTCTTGCTGATTTTGTATTTAAAAGAGAATTAAATAATGTTGTTGTTTCCTTTAAATTAGGAAAAATAAATATTTTTTGGGAAAGATAAAAGAAAAATATAAACAGCTACGAAAAGGGAATAATTGAAGGTTTGAGATACATATACCGTATTCTCTATAATCTCTAATTGAACGGCCGGCCGCTCTATTTTTCAATCCCTTCTCGAAGGGCAGCTTTATTGGATACGGCCGCTCAATTCGAGAAAAGACGGCACATGGATTTATTTGGAAATAAATATTCCATTAAGCTACATATCTATTTTCATTATTTCACTAATATATTTCTTAATTTTAAATCACTTCCTCCTTAGTTTCCGTTTTCCCTTTTTTCCACAATAAATACTCCAAATAAATTTATATATTTGTTAGAATTAATTACTTGTGATGAAGGTAATATTTGGCAATCATTTCCAGGTACTTTACTATTCCACATTTTACATCCAATAGCTGTATATGTAATTAACAAAACAGAAAGAGGTAAACAATATTGTAAAGCAAAAAGTGAGGAAGTATATAGAGAAACAAAAGAATCAGAAAAAAAATCATTCCATTTTTCAAGGCAAGTATCAACACCTTCTGATGAACTTTCTAACTAAAAAATTAAAAAAATAATTTTTAATCTCCCTTCTCCCTTGTCCCTCCCCTTCATTCTCATTACCTGATTAACAACAAGTAAAGGCAATGCCATAATTAAAGAAAATCCCCAAGTAATCAAAGTTGCATATAAAGCCCTTTTTCTATTCATTTTGAGCCATGGGGACATTGAAAATTGGATTGCCATAAAACGATCGAAAGAAATTGCAACTAAAGTCCATGAGGATACAAATACTGCTGTCGCCTATATAAAAATTGTTGAGTAATTTTAAAAAATAATGCAAGAATATTTTTGGCAGTTATAATAACAAAATTTAGAAACCCCACAAAAATCATTTGATTTTAAAGGATATTTTATAAGGATATTTTCTTTTTTTTATTTTTTACAAAAAAAAATATTTTTCTTTAACTGTACCTGTAAATAATTAAATGTTTTACACAAAAAAGCCCCAAAAATCCATCTCTGATCTTCAAAAACCAAAACATGCCAATAACTTAAAGGAATACAGAAAATACTAATCATTAAATCTCCAAGTGCCAAATTAGCAATTAACATATTTGTTGGGGTTCTGAGTCTTTTGAAACGAAGAAATACAGCCAAAATTAAAGCATTCCCAACAAAGGCAACAATACTTAAAGCAGAATAAATCAAAATTGCTAACATCTTTAAAATAAAATTTCTGTTCAAAAATTTCAAAAATTTTTCCAACTTTGCAAGTAAAACACAAAGCCTCTACAGGATGTACAGTTAATTCTGTAGTCTCCAAATTATTATTATTTTTATTTAAAAATTCATTTAATAGAAAAGAAAGGCTTTCTGTTGTTGGTGATGATTGGGAATTAATTAAGCTGCCCGAATTGCCTGATGTGGAGCTTGGAGGAAATAAATTATTTTTGTTTTGCTCAGTCATTAATAAGCACCCTTTCTTTTTAATTTAACTGAAGAA